TTAAAATAATACTAAGAAATCAAGGAGAAAAACTACGTATGTGCGCTAACCAAGTGAAAAACAGAATATAAACCTGGTTTCACTGAAGATAACTGAAAGTTTCTAACCCAGTCTGACAGAAAAATATAGTGGAAGTAGACGGACAAACTGAAGTAGAATACCCTGTGTGATTTATTCTTCTTCTCTCAAATATAATGCGTAGTTTACTCGTCCCCAATCATCGTGATCTGTCAATTCTCATTTATCTTGTTTGACAGACTCCTTTCGTAATTGTTCCATCTTCAGTGGTGGGAAGAAATTTTAGAACGAAAGTCAGCTTAATCCGAATTATGAAATTACTTTATCTACTTATCAAGCTATTATTTAATTAGTGTAATAAATGGCTGTCTGGCGGGCTTAATTTTCAACTGCCCAAATGGGATTTCGCTTGGTGACTAGGAAGATTCGCCCCGTTATCAATCAACTCTTTTCACCCTCAGGGGCCACTTTCCCGACATGGCTAAGCTTTCTTTCCCAGGGGCTTTTCGCGCTGGCAAACAGGCTTAATTCCGTTACGTCGCCTACGGATGAGAGGAAAAATGCATGGTCGGATGCATTTTTGAAAACCGGCGGAGCGTTCGGGTAAATTTTTATCCGGCCGAGTTTTTCGTCGTTTTTTTTTCACTTTTTTACGCAGTGATGCAACAGTGCATGACAGTCTGAATGCACCGGGACTCTACTTTGATTGAGTTTTTTTTTTAATTTTATTTATTTTCAAACGGGTTCAGATTTTTTATTTGTTTTATACTCCACCTCCCACGGTTTTAGAAGCACTGAAGTGAAAGCAACGTGAAACAAGTGGAGGTAGAAATTGTTAACAATATTTACCTTCCGATTTGAGTTTTTAAAGAAATATGCTTGTACAACTTAAAACTTAATTACAACAAAGTTTTCTTCTGTGCTGGATAGCTCATCAATGGAAGGTCTGGGGCGGGATCGGATCTCAGGATCTTGAATTTGATCCCGACCCCATTCAAAAATGAGTTTCTTCGAGGGAAGAACAACGGCACACTAAGGTCTCAATTCACACATGCGTTGCGACCCCCAGAAATGGAGCCAGGAAGAAATACAATAAGCTATAAAGAGCTGCAGGAGCTGCAGTGCTCAGAGGGACTCCTCCCACACAACCACACTATTTTTTAAAAAAGATTTAATTTAAAAAATGTTAAACTACAATAGAATACAGTTTTAATGGTAATATGGTGCGACGTTCGTAGTAAAAAATATACAACTTCACTGATTTTAGCGGGGAACATACTTACCCGATGCAACGCTATGCGACGCTACCTGATGCTACCCGACGCCTTGCCACGTTTTGGTGGGGTGTGCACATCTATGCGACGTCAATCGCCACGTACAGTCACACAGCATGTATCACAACAATCAGTATCGCAATCGCAACGCCTCTTTTGTTCTTAATACATTATTTTGAGAAAAACCATGTAACAATGGAATAAATTGTTTGTCAAACTTAATTATCTTAAATATACAATCAATTAAGGTTTTTAGTTGAGATGAAAAAAGTTAATGGCGCGAGCGGGATTCGAACCCACGATCTTCGGCTAGATACGTCGCTGCTCTACCACTTGAGCTATCGTGACCTCGATCCACTCGGACATCAACTTCCTATCTCAACATTTGAAAAATGGCAAAAAGGAGGGAAAACTCATAAGGTGGGGTTGAGATAGGAAGTTGATGTCCGAGTAGATCGAGGTCACGATAGCTCAAGTGGTAGAGCAGCGGCGTATCTAGCCGAAGATCGTGGGTTCGAATCCCGCTCGTGCCATTAACTTTTTTTCATCTCAACTAAACGCCTTAATTAATTGTAATGATTTAATTGGTCAAGCAGACCACGAAATTAGTGAATTGTCTTAAATATAGTTATTGCGGTGTTTTGTTTCTTTTTTTCAAATTTTCTTCCTAACCGTCATAATTAAATTTTTATAAAAACATGAATATTTGATCTCGATTCCATTAAATTAGGAATGTTGTAATTAATATAACGACAAAATTACATATACTTAGTTTGAAATATACTACAAAAATATGAGTGTCCAGTACTCGACGAAAATGGCGTAATTTTATGAGCCAAAGCATGAAATAAATTGTTAGTTAAATTTTACGAGCAAAACCATGAAATAAATTGTTAGTTAAATTTTATGAGCAAAACCATGAAATACATTGTTAGTTAAATTTTATGAGCAAAACCATGAAATAAATTGTTAGTTAAATTTTATGAGCAAAACCGTGTAATAAATTGTTAGTTAAATTCATTACATCAAAAAATGTTATTCCGGTGTTTGATCAATTTTCTACCAAACCATTTTAAAAAAAAAAATTGAAATAAAATCTAATGAATTTTTGATCTCGGTTGATTTGGTTTATATTAAAATAAGTATGTTGTAATTAATATAACGACAATAATACAAGTAGTTTGAATAAAAATATAAGTATCCAGTTCTTTTTGTCTTCGACTGTACTCGATGCTACCCGACGAAAATCTGGACAGTGGGGATCGCAGAGCGTAGAGTAGGGTAGCGTCGCATAGCATCGGGCAGATGTGCATGGGGGTAATGCAATCTTATGGAAAATTGGACTTTGGATTTTCGTCGGGTACAGTCGCGTGTATCACAAATCAGTATCGCAATGGCAACGCCTCTTTTGTTCTTAATGTGTCATTTTGAGCAAAACCATCTAATAAGTTGTTTGTTAACTTTTATGAGCAAAACCATGTAATAAATTGGGTAGCGTCGCATAGCGTTGCATCTGGTAAGTGTGTTCCCGGCTTAAGTGTTGAAAGTGTGCAAGGTTCTAAACTATAAAATAAACAAAAAAGACAGAAACACATCTATGATTGTTTATCAAGAAATATGAATAATTCAATAATAAATAAAATGTGAAAACATAAGATTTATTTACAGGAACTTCATTCTCAGTCATCCGTGCTGGTAAGGCTGGACAATAGCTTACAATTAAGGAGCCTAGTTCAGTCTTTTGTTGCGTTTCAAACACGAAACTTTCAACAACAAAGTTCACCTTGCCTCATTAAATTAATGGTAATAAAACTATCGCTAGAATCTAAAAATATTCATATAATACAAATTTATCATCGTCCTTTATTATCGTGCCGCACAGTGGGACCAAAACGCAAAAAGCGGGAAAAAATCAGTAGTACCCAAGCTATTTGAGTAAGTTCCCAAAAATTTGTACGTTTAGGTTTTTTGAATCCAATTTAAATTTAAACTTTTTCGAATCGATTGGACCACAGCCAACAGTCCAAAATTGTGGTCCAAAATCCAAAAGTAGAACAACTATCACCAATAATCATCATGGGTATCGTTTTCTATGTTTTTCTACACGGTGAATTCAACGAAACTATTCTCGAATCGATTGGACCATAGCAAGACGTCCAAAAATTGTGGACGGCAGACTGGTAGAATAGATGGTAGAAATAACTGCTACAAGTTGCAAAAAAATAATCTGGCGTATTGACTCAGATGGACTTACTCACAATAATTGTATCTGAATAACTATTATTTACACTGTTGAAACACAAACTGTAAAAAAAGATAAGAACAAATTCTCTCACAAAAAAACCTCTATTTTAATAGGAAATTAAACGCTGATCACGAATATAACCATGAAAAAGACATTAAGTCAAAAATCCCCTTTTGAAATAACCATTTCTGACTAAAAATCGTAAAATTGCGTTTAAAATAAAAGCTCTGCTTAAGAGCTTTCCAATGGTTATCTTTTTAATTGTTTTTACTATTTCTGTTAGAGTAGTAAATTGGCTTTTTTAGGTTTTTTAGGCATAGTGTCAGTTATTGTAAAAAATAGTTCAGGCCAAACCATGTATTCGATATTTGGCTAACCGTTAGAACCTATGAATAGGACATTTACATAGAAAAACGCACAGACCAATCCCCGAAGATGGCGAAATGGCAAAATGATTCTGATAGACAAACTAGGAACTCGGCATTTGGCTATCAGAACCTATGATATGACCAACTCTTAATTACCAAAACGCACCTGAAGTCTAGCACAACAAGGATAGGCAGACTAGGATGACGAACAACTACAAGGCTACAACAAGAAATATCACAATCATTACAATAATGAGAAATTCACTAATTCCGTGGTCCGCTTGACTAATTAATATCATCCAATTAATTAAGGTTTTTAGTTGAGATAAAAAAGTCAATGGCACGAGCAGGATTCCAACCCACGATCTTCGGATTGATACGCCGCTGCTCTACCACTTGAGCTATCGTGACCTCGATCCACTCGGAAACCAATTTCCCATCTCAATCGCAACTTTTGAATTTTCCCTCCTTTTTGCCATTTTTCAAATGTCGTGTACCATGTTGTGTCCTTGAAAAATGGCAAAAAGGAGGGGAAATTCAAAAGGTGTGGTTGAGATGGGAAGTTGGGGTCCGAGAGGATCGAGGTCACGATAGCTCAAGTGGTAGAGCAGCGGCGTATCTAGCCGAAGATCGTGGGTTCGAATCCCGCTCGTGCCATTGACTAATAATGAGAAATGTTAGTATTTTAATGAGTATACCCTCTGCCCTAAGGTTATCAGGACTCATTTTTCACATATTCGAAATTGTTTTTGAACCACGTTAAGAAACCACAATTTGTATCTGTTATTTCCTAGGATGTCAAAAAAATAAGAAAGATCAAAGATTATTAAGTTAAGCAATTACTTTCCAATCGAAATTTGGTCCATTAACGATCCTATTTTCGAGTTATTAAATAACGTTCCGTTTGTTATTTAGTAGACCCTTTCCCAAATGTGACACGTGGATTGTTACAGTCGTCTGCTAGTGCGAGTTATACTGATAGCACGTGGCCCGGTTCCAATTAGGGCCCACCCGCCGGCACCGCCACGCCACCCTGCATCTCGCTCATCCCTACGACTCTAATCCCGAGTTCTAATCAAATTTGTGCGTTTACAGGTCTGGTTCCAGAACCGAAGGGCCAAGTGGAGGAAGACTGAAAAGTGCTGGGGGAGGAGCACCATCATGGCAGAGTACGGCCTCTACGGTGCCATGGTCAGGCACTCGCTTCCCCTACCGGAGACCATCCTCAAAAGTGCTAAGGAGAACGAATGCGTGGCTCCCTGGCTCTTAGGTACTATATCTTCACATTTTAAACTATTTTTATTTCAATCGAAACTCAGAGAAAGAGAAGTAAAACAAAAACCATTAACGATGAGCAAGGAACTGACCATAAAACCTATCATAAAGATTGTAAAGTTTTGCTGAGTTTCTAGTGATTTACAATTTAACCTGAAGGTTAGAAAATCGATTTTCTTTTTAAATGTGGTCTAAGGAATAAATCTGGTCAGTCAGACGTGTTTCCGTCTATCGTCATATGAGACGATCTAGTTACACATTGACGCGTAATGGTTTCGTGTGAACTTTGAAGCCATTGAAAAGGAATAGCCCAAAACAACCACTAAAGACGGTGAAAATTGACTGACAGACAAAGCCTGCGAGATTGGGCAGACCAGGATGACTAAGGACTAGGAAAGATGGAAACAATCCAGCTACTAGTACATCACCTACAGGAAATTTTAAGCTTCTATAACTAGGCAACTATACCTTTTATTATAATATATTTTCGAGCAATTGTAACGAATAAATACACAAATTAGTTAGTTTCTCACTCGGCAATTGAACTAATAAAAAAGAACTTAATTCAGCGATATTGGGCGGACTATGATGAACTAGTAACATATTGACGCGTAATGGTTTTGTTTGAACTTTGAAGCCAACGAAAAGGAATAACACAAACCAACCACCAAAGATGGTGAAAACTGACTGACATACAAAACCTGCGAGATAGGGCAGACTAGAATGACCGGAGACGATCCAGGTCCATCACCCAAAGGGACATCTAAGAAACAACAGCTATATTAAAAGTTCATACATATTGTATCTATTTTTTTCATTCCCCATTTACCATACACACGTAGAAAAGAGCAGACTAACCATTATATCACTAAAGTCTGACAGACAAAACCTCAGAGATTGGGCAGACCTGGAAGACTGGCGCCGATCAAGTGACAGGTCCATCACCCACAATTAAAAGTTCATATATATTGTGTCTGTGTATTATTTCGACGTGTTCAGTCATTTTCCTATATACAGTGAATGATCGATCATTTCCTCGTGAGAATACCTGGCGACAGACATCAGCGAGAATATGCAAAATCTTAAAAGAGTGCTGTTTTGTTTGACCGTTGAAACTAAAATATAAGCACATAATTCCGTGGAATAGTACAAACCGACCACTAAAAATAACGAAAGGTTTCTGGCAGACAAAACCAAAAAGATTAGGAAGTCCAGGATGACCGGAAAAGATCCAGCTACTGGTACAGCAGCTACAAAGAAATCTAAGAAACAACTATATTGTATCCCCAAACATATTCTGTCTGCTTGGTCTTTCCGGTACTTTTGAACGTTTTCCTACATTCAGTGAATGCTCTGTGCGTTTTCTACATGAGTATGTCCTGGCGATAGACAACAACAGCGAGACAACAACTCTTTTACCAACTCAAATCATCATATCAAAGAGTGATGGTTTGTTTGTCCATCAAAACCTATAAAGTAACACTAAATATCACTAAATTCTAATCAGCGAGATTCTTCTGGCTATTAAACTTATGAACAAGACATAAACACAATAAATCATTTGATGTTGCGAAATACCAATGCCCTTCAGTCTGAAAACATTGTCGATTCGGCATTTGCTAACCATTAGAACCAAGAAACAGTCTAAGCACTTGGAAACGCTCAGACATTCACTGAAGATGACTTCACGTCTAAACTCTTCTCACAGAAGTACAGGAATTTTTTAAATTAGGTACATCAAGAAAGTAGTTGTTCCTTGTCAGGAACATATCCAATAAAGTTCTTAAGTTATTTCTTTTTTTTTTTTTTTTTTTTTTTTTCAAAAAGAAAGGAGCCCGGGATCATTAAACATCCCGAAACACGACCGCCTATTGCTAAATTAATTAAAAAGAGCAAGATTATTTTGCAGTTTCCTTCTATGTGTTGGTATGTCGAAGGGGTGGTTTTCGGCGGGTCGGTGAGCTTCTAGTATGAAGAAGTAGGGGTAATTCACCCCCTAGGCAAGGACTCTTTAATTAAGACCCCCCCTTTCTTTATCTCGGCACCCCGTCAACCATTCCATTGGCCTGGAGAATGGGGAGCACTTAGAACTTTTCCTTCGAAATAAGGGTCCCTTCGGGAAAATGGCCGTCACACCTTAATTTCAATCATTTGGAGATTTTTTCTGTATTAATTAATAATTAGTAATAATGTTAATACAGAAAAAAAATCCTGATAACGAGAAAATTAATAGAAACAAGATGATGTCCATTAAAGTATAAAATGTGCAGTAAAACTATTTTTAAGTTTTGCACAATCACGTTTCGACCTCAGTCAACTGCCCCATCATCTGTGGAAGATTGGAATTCTGGAGAATTGGGAATATGACCGTGGCAGTGGCTTGACCAGGAACATGTGATACTTCGTGTCCCCAAAGGTCGGGAGGAGAATTTTTCAAAAATTTTGTGCATAAACAAAAAACATTCAGCACTCGATAGTTAAGTTGCATGCATAAGGTCAAACAATATCCAAATTTAAAGCCGAAGGTAAAAAAAAAATGGTTCTCATTTTTGAGCCAAGAAGAACCAACAAATAAATAAAACTCACACCGCGACTTAGTCCCCACGGACTCTCACACGAGTTATGGCAAACCCACACGTTTTGCACAACCTAAGACCACAAAATAGATCATAGTTCTCATGAGTTAAAAAATTGACTACAGCTTAAACCATTTTAATTAAATATTTTGTTAATATAATTCAAGCATAGCTAGATCACGTCCGAACGTTTCAGCATTCACGTTCACTGGTTGGCCTGTGCGTTTTCCCGGGTTTATGTCTTTTTATACGTTTTACTTTATTTTGAAACTAGCTGACAAAGTTAACCAGAAAGAATATAACATAATATTGGCATTTAACCATCCAATATTTTTAAAACTTAATATGTCGAAACGGGCACATTAGAAATTATTTTAATTAAATTTTGTTTAATTTTTCTCTGCAAACTTTCATTTTGTATATATAGGTTGTCACCAGTATATTCGGGATGTTATTGGTTTAAAAAGTAAGTAAAATAGCATTTAAGATTTATAAAAATTAGAGGTACAATTAAGAAGTTCTAAGCTTAATTTTCGCCATTTTTTAGGGTACTTTTTTCTTATTGGGAAAAATGGATCGAAACGAATTAAAATGGCTTTTTTTATTTTAAAAAAAGCGGTGTGCTTTGATATACTTGTACTTTGTAATAAAGGTACTCCCTGAGTATCAGCTATGATATTTAAAAATCGCCAAAGGGGCAAAAATCTAGTAATATTTCTTTTGTATTTTCCATGTGCGGTATCGTAGCTGCCAAAACTCAGGGACACCTTTTCGATGACGGTACGTAGGACTTAATTTACATAATAACGAGTTCTCGCTTCTGCCAAATAATCGTAAATATCAAAATCGATTTAAAAAAAAAATTGGAATGCACGGGCTTAGCAAGAGTCAAAGGCTGGCTTTTTTAATTACTAATAAATCCACGGTCATTTTGAATAATTATTTTAAACCGTCAATTTGTAGTAGGTGCAATTATTATATTGTATAGTAATAAAATTGATTTTTTGTTTATATTTAAGGTGAGGATTTCATTTTTAAAAATGGCATTTCATTAATTTCCAGGTATGCACAGAAAGTCATTAGAGGCGGCGGACACGCTGAAGGAGGACACGATGACTTCCGGCGGAGGGTCTGAGCGAGACGAAGAGTCCGAAGGTTGCGGAGGCGGCGGAGGCGGGAGCGAAGACCCAGAACAGTTCAGGAACAAGAGCATAGCCTGCCTAAGGGCGAAAGCCCAAGAGCACTCGGCCAAAATCCTAGGCCTCGGGAGCGGGGGAGATTCCGGAGGCGGAGGCGAAGTTATGAGGCACCAGCAACAGCAGCAGCAGCAACAGCAGCAACAACAACCGCCCGACTCCAACGGCAACACAGTGCAGCACCACATATACTAAAAGCGAGGTTCATCCGACACCGTTCTGAAAACCGGGGTTTTTTTTGGTCTAGTCGCGTATATATCAATAAAAAGAACACACTTCGATTTTTATATAGTGTTTCAAGGCATCATTTCTTAATAATTCTCCCCAAAAGATTTTTTACTCAAATTTACGTACTTAACCATTTTCTTTTATAAATTTAACAATAGTTTTTGGTGTTTCTAGTATGATGTATGATGGGTCCGTCTAATTTCGCTGGTCCTCTCTCAAATCGGTCTAGACATGCATCGATGTAGCCTGAAACACTCTGTATTAATAGAAGTCGTGAATTCTCGCCGCCCTGGATTATTTTATGGAAACCGCGACCCCAGATTTTCAAAAAGGTGTTGCCCGATACCGCCTTGAGCAACAAAAGGTCAGCGATAGCAAAAAGTGCTCAAAATTTTATCCGACAGTGTTACCGAAGACGCCGATCATCAACATCGAACCCAGCAGTTCCGACAACGAAAACAACTCATGTGTACCTGTCAGTGTCCGCTCTAGAGACCTTTTGATCCTCAAGAACATAGAAATAAATAAATGTGGGTGGGAGGCAGTGTACAATTGTATATTTAAACAAAACACACACATAAAAAAATATAATTAATAATTTTTCAATGTGCAATATTTATATAATAATGTAAGACTACAAAAAAGAATTTTAAATATGTAAAAAAAATAATAATAAACATTGTTTTTATATTATTTTTTCGTCCGTTTTAAATGAGATTATTAATAATATTTGACAAATATTACCAATTTTTCTAAATTAAAAAAAATCCTTTAGGTCTGAGAGCTGTATGTAAAGTTTAGTGATAAGAATTTATTCATTATGAGTGATATAATGCTACTTTGTATAAACGTTGATTTTTGTATATATTTTGTAGAGCCGACAACGATGTGGGTGTTGGTAAAATATGTGACTCGTTATTTGTCTATTTTTTTTTTTTTTTCCATTCAGGGGAAGCCTCAGAATTATTTGGTGCTTTGATGGGCGGGCATGCTTTTTTTCAAATTGTAGACTTTCCCATTGGTCAAATTCATTATTAGGACGAACGTGCAATAAAATGGAGTCAAATTGTGATTAATGGGTACTTAAAAAAAAAATTGTAAATTGGACTAAAGTATATTGAAAATAAACTAGGGCCTTTCGATCCACTTTTTTGTTTTCTTTTTTGTAAATAGCGCTAAAAATTGACAAATTTGTACGAATGAGGAAAAATTGTTTAGTGAGCTTAAAGTATATTTAAAAAGAAAAAAATTATTGTAAATACTGTTTCTCCCAAAGAATTGTATAAAAGCAAACTGAAGAAAATGAATTTTTTTCCTTTTGAGAGAATAAACGTTTTGTATTTTTTAATTTTGAAATTTCCCTTTAATAATATTAAAAGAAAATTTTCGAGAAAAAAACGTAATGTATAATGTATTGTTTATGTCACTTTAACATAGATGTTTACCATTTGGGCAGATAAACAAAAATATAAAAAATACTATATAAACGAGAATCATGTTTACTTTTTCCATGGTTGTGTTTTTTAATCATTTTCTTTCTTTCAGAATAATAATTCACCGTTGTATTCAATAATGGATAAAAGGCAATAAGTGAAATTAAAAGCGTAGGAACATAAAACTTTAATATAGGGGGGTGATTCACGAATAATATATCAAATTTCAGGGGGGGTTTCTACACCCAAAAATCAACAAGAAAGTTTCTCTCCCTATCTGATTTTAAATAATAAGGGTGATATTTCTTATTTTGAATTTTTACAGGAAAACTCGTATTTCTACATAAAAATTCATATATTCTGAACCCTTGTTTCAATTTGAACACGCTTTGGAAAGGACTGACTAAATTTCCATTAAGAAAACATACCCAACTAGGTTCGATACATAGCAGAGACACTTAGCATATCTCATACAAGCGTTTCAATGCATCTGGGAAAATTCGTCGGAACGATTCATGGGTTCCGGACATGTTGACTGAGAAGAGAGGAAAATCCAGTGAAAAACGCAGCGACCCACCTTTAACAACTCCAAAAGCTGTATTTCATCCCAAGAAGGTTGTGCATTTGATGAGATTGGAAGAAGGTGTTTTATTTTGAGCTTTTCTGGCCAAATCGTTAATTGCACTGTAAACTGCACACAATTGGTGCGATTATAGCCAGCAATTAACAAACAAAAATCCGAGATGTGCCAGAAATCGTTGGAGCTTGGTGGTAGTATTTAGCCCCTTCTTATTTTCTTCTGAAGAAACATTGGCCAATGAGCCATTCCCCTAATATATTTTTGGTGACGAAGCATTCCCTCTTTTGCCCTCTTCCATACCCCAAAAGAGAGTTGAACGATAGAAAAGAATTTTCGACTTAGTAAAGAAAAATTTTGGAATGCGCCTTCATCATGCTCACATTAAAATTTCGAAATTTTTAAACGTCCAATCACTCGTAACGAGGAGTTGCAGCTTGCATCCTACATAAATTCTTTCCTTCCTGTGATAATGTACCATTGATGCTAGATGTTAAGGTTAAAAAGGAGTCGGCACCTTCACGGCCTTACCCGCCGCGACCAATATTGGTCAATCGAGCAATTTCCATTAAGTTTAAAGCGCCAAAACTTTATTAAGAGTTCCCGTGAGGTGGAATCTCAACCTGCATTTTGCACCAACAGAGGACATGTTCTGCCGTTTCTTCTTCTCCTGTAAATATCCTCACAGATTTGTTTCTGCTGCTCCGAGTCCTTATAGCCTCTACAGTCTGCAGTGTCCAGTCAGCAACCAACTATCATTTTACCACGTTCTACGTTTAGTATTTTGTCCGTTGGTTTCTGCGATAGTTCTTTGATGGACTTTTTCCTTGAATACAATCCTATTGAGCTGATGACCTATTCTTAATTGCCTCCTGGATCTACGTTTTTGGCAGTTTGGTATGCGGCAAATTGGTTCAGAATTTGCCTTGACAAATTTATTGTCCCTATTCCCTGGGTGCCCTGGTGCCCAAATAAGGGTTATTTTGTTGTGGTCCCCAATGTCGGAGGGCCTTGATGGAATCCAACGCTCTGAACTTTATTACCAATGAGGCTATCCGAGTGGATAGCAATTATTTTGTTGTAACACCCAGCCTTTTCATCTTCCTGGCACAGTATCCAACAGCCTGCTCTCCGCCTGAAAAAAAAGTGATATTTGCCCAAGGCTTATAGAATTCTAGTCCGTGGCTTACCATCTCCTGGCCCATGCTCGGTCTTAAAGCCATATCAGATATAGTCGGCATTAACCGGGATCCTTACAAGGAAACTTGTCTTCGGTTCACAGAGATTCTATTCAAGGAAGGAGGCATTTGAAGTTTATTCAGAGTCTATCTCACAGAAGTTAAGGGGAGAACTACTAAACCTAGGCTGGGTGGTCTAGAACAAAGCTGTCTGCTGGCTTGATACCACAGATTCCGAACGCTTATGTAAAACATAGAAGTAGCAAAAACAAGCCTGTACAGATATTGTCATGAAGAAGAAGGAACAGGGGAACATGTCCTCTGTTGAAGCAAAGACCCATGCAGTCTGAGAGTCCTACTCTTGGAAGAGGAAAAGCCAAGGCCTTAATAAAGTTTTTGGATCTTTAAAAAGCTTTAAGCTTAACGAAAAGCTATAGACAAAGAGTGCACAATAGAACAATACTGGTTGCGGTGCTTAAAGTCGTAAAGAGGTTAACTCCCTATTCATCCAAACCTAGTTTACATGAAGAAATTCCAGCTTTTACAAATTTTGCAAATGTTTGATTTCATGTGAGCGCTAGGACTGATGGAACAAAACTTTACAATTTGCTTGTTAATTAGTGGTTAAAGTTTGGTGGGAATTTTTGGTCATCAAGCAATCCAATTGAGGGTAAGTAAAACAATTCCTGTCATACAGGCTTTAACCCTTTATTGCCCAATGTTGTCTTAGAGGGAAATCCCATAAATTTGGTAACAGATGGTTCTCATCGAGATTGGCGCCAAATAAATCAGTGTTGCCGATACACGAGAAGAAGCAGAACAGGGACAAGACAGCGCCCGCCCTAAACTCACGGGATTTCCTGTTCACCTTAACGAAACTCCTAAAATTGGCATTTTTCTGAAGCAACTTTGAGCAAGAAAGGGTTAAGGTCCAACTCGCTGTTGAGAACCATGTTCGAAGGGTCAAGTAGTCAAATAGTCGTTTTATGATACATCTTATTTTTAATTAAAAAGACATGGGATGTCAGGAATAGAACCCAGAACCGCTACCGTGGGAAATACGACCGGACCCCTAACAACCGGCTTCCAACTGAAAATTGGCTTTTAGCACTAGGTATGTAGATTCATTACTGTTTTTCACTTTTTGAAAAGGGTGGACAACTTCATTATTTTTTTTTAATGGATTCGTTTTTTTTTTTTTTCTTTTTTACTGAAATTATTCGAACATTTGGCAGCTTTTGTAGGGGATGGACCTTAATTTTTGTTTAATAATTGGTTTTTGGTTGTTTCTAAGGGTCAGCTCTTCTACAAACTGAAAATTTTATTAACTTTCACGGACAACTATGCCTGTAGATTCTTGAAAATCTACATTTCTATGTGGTGTCCTCTGGACCAGTACTAAACTGTTAGGATCAACAAAGAATTTTTTAAGATTTGGAAGCCTTCCTAGATTATGGATGCCTCTGAAGAAAAAAAATACAATTTTTGCTTGTTGTACCAGTTCTTCTTCCAACTGAAAATTGACTTTTAGCACACTATGCCTTAAGATTCATTACTTTTTTTTTACTTTTTGAAAAGGATGGACAACTTTATTATATTTTAGAAGATTCATTATGTTCAGAGTTTGTTTCAAAGTTTCTTTCCCCGTATTTTGAATGTTCCTTAGCAAATTTTTATTTTACTTTTTTTAGAATTTCTTTAACGCATGTACTGAAAGATTGGTAATTTTATTAATTTAATTTTTAAATAGCTTAAAGAAGAAATGCATATTTGAGACAGTGAATGGTCCTTAGCTATGGGCCTGTGCGTTTTCACCATGTGTATGTTCTTTTTAAAGCTCCCAATGGTCAGCGATATGATGAAAAGAAGCTGTACAGTGAGTTATGCTAAATATGCCTTCAATTTCATATCTGGAAGATACATTTGTCAAATTTTCTCTCTGAAGTCACTGCCGTACTTATTTACTTTATGATTTTTTATATGCTTTTCTTGTGGAAATATTGGAGATCTGATGTTAAACTACTTGTCTTGATAACAAAATTTCAAATTCAAAACCTCAGTTCAGCGGATGTCAGTAGGAGAATAAAAATATAAGTAAATCATCCGACATTCCCAAACCACTCAATTCAGCAGATGTTTTCCAGTAATCGTACTGGAATTCGTTTCCCCCTTCACATTAAAGTTGGCCATTTTGTTCTTGAACTCTTAAACCATGAGAGCAAAAACCCACCATATTAACGGCATAGCATAAATTAACAACATGAGTTGAGAAAAATAAAATTTCATACTGGATTATTAGGAAAAGTGTAAAATACAGTTTCCTACTTCGCGCAGTAATACATGTCAGTGTGACGGTCAAACTATGCGAGCATGTATG